CTTACTCTATACTGAACAGTTGTCGCGGAGAACCTAACGGGTAACCGGGGCTCCGGCTCGACGTGCAGGAGAAGGAACGGGGTGGTTTTTAGTCAGTAAGAGTCTGACACTCCCTCCCGCCTCACCCAGGCGGGGGCAGTCATTCGATGATTATCCCCCCTTAAAAAAAAAAAAAAAAATACTGAACAGTTATAATACTTACTACTCAATAATGAAAAGGTTAAAAATGACGATGTCCTAAGAATGCCATTGATCAATATTATAGCTATTACCAAATACGACAGATCCTATTGTTAGTTATTCAATACCGTACTAAATAATTCTTTTATAGACTACGTTAAACAAACCGACCTCCTCTGTTTAAAGTCAGTTTTTTTTATGGGATAAGCCGGTAAACGAGCAAATGGATCACCTGATGGTAAGCAATCGGCATCGCCAATGGACACCTGGAACTCCAGAGGCGTTACAAGTGCGTTACCGGCCTTTTGGGATTAGGAATTTCAGGATTGTTTGGATTCAAGGATTGGAGAAAGGGGGGGGGGATAATTTGGCCTGCGGTAACCTCACTCACACGACGAAACACAACGCGAGCGTTGTTTCACGTCGGTCATCTGAGAGGCCGTAGTATTCGTCCGGTCGAGCCGGTCCATTCGTGCCGAAGCATGGCGCTCTCCCACACTTTACTAGTTAATTAATATACTAAAAACCTTTCCTAAGTGTACCAATGAAAACAATTCTGAAACAGCATCAGAATCGATTTAGCCAATTGCAAGATAATCGCACATAAACATACATACATACATGCATGCAGGTCAAATTAAATACTTCCTTTTTGAAGTCGGTTAAAATGAAATTAAAAATAATTTATATAAATATAATATCACAGACCGAATGCTAAACTCATACTCATCCCTTTCCCCATTTTCCCAACTGCCTCTAGACTTAACCGGGGCTCCGGCTCGACGTGCAGGAGAAGGAACGGGGTGGTTTTTAGTCAGTAAGAGTCTGACACTCCCTCCCGCCTCACCCAGGCGGGGGCAGTCATTCGATGATTTTCCCCCCTTAAAAAAAAAAAGTCTACCGGCTACTTAAAAGCAATTTGCATTCAGAATCATTCCAGCAGCTTTATCAAAGCGTCAATTGTTATTAAGCATTGCAAAATAATCTTTTAGAAAACGTCACACAACACAATAAAACGTCCTAATCCACATAAGAATGAACAAACGTATCTATATTCATATTGAGCACGTTGCTATTAAACCATTCAAATAAATAAAGGACAGGATTTCACGTTGGGTATATATTAATCAATCATTCAAATGAAATTGCTTTGAATACACTCTGAATGTCTGAATAAGATTTTGCGATGCATCTTAATGGCAAGTGCAATGACCCTTTACAATAGACAGACTCGAAGATTCGGCATTATGTTAATTCAAAAGCATTGTGACAATATTTCATTCAGCTCAGCTCTTATTTATCCGCAGTAAGCCACAACAATTGTTAGGTACTGAATCGGTGCTTGGCAAAAAGGAGATACCATTTAAAGCTAAATTTAACGTGAAAATGAGAAAATTGTTGCAGTGCTCCCGAGAAAATCTATTGAGCAAGAGGAAAAGCGTTCGATTGTGGACCCAAGAGGGATTATTGTATTTCTAAATTCTCCTGTGTTGTATTAAAAACACAACTTTAAGACTTTATTTCCAAAAATATTCTAGAACGTTGTGGAATGTTCCCGTTTTCAGTACTATTGAAGAAAATTATGCGTCTGGCTCTGGGATTAAGGAAATATTATTAGATACTTCAATAATATAAAAAAATATTATTAGACTCTTCAATAAACTATTTGCAGTCGTATATTTTCATATCGTTAATATCGTGTCTCATTTCCTATCACATTTTGATAGAATATAAAGCAATACCTACTACAGAGAAAACAATTGTTAAACCAGTATAGAGGTATTTTCGCGTGAGAAGCCAGGCTTTGGAACGAAAGGGTCGGCTTGACTGGAATGATAGCTCAATAATAATTATAGCCACAGCTTCAGAGAAAACCGGCGTGAAACGACGTTGCTTATGTTTAGCCGTGTAATTGATGTTACCGAAGGTCAAATCCTCCGATCCGATTTCTTAACATCAGGTGATCCGTCTACTCGTTTGCCGGCTTATCCCATAAATTAAAAGAAAAATATACAATCATTTGGGTGCAATGGCCTAACACTACCCTATTGGTGTAACAATGAACAATTTCTTTTTCCACTTCATTAAATCCTGGCAACGTTGAAAGACTATTATACTCTGATAAATTGCGGAATTTTGTTTAAACCTTAGAATTTATTTTGGTAAGTGGTGTTAACGTCCTATGAATAGGTACAGTTCATTTAAGTTAAGTATACGCAATTAATACTAGGATTATTTTGTCTCGAATTAAGTGAATAAAAACCACTATTCGCTGTTGCTGATGACTTTTGAGATCAAAATACTTTATTATATCTTGGTTTATTCCATTTTAAACTCTGTTTTATCACTACTGTTTCACATTTTAACTATGACGTAATAGGGGCCATTTATAAACTACGAAATACGTGTCCACATGGCTTTAAATATCAACAGAGATTATCCAAAAAGACACAAACTTTGAAACATCTAAAGGTCACTAAATAAATTATGGCGTAATCCCACCAAAGCTTTTTCAATCCAATTTTAATTGTAAGAGTATTCCACCTTTGTTGGACAGGCTTCAAGATAAAAAAGCCATTAAAAATGATAGATTGATCCGATCCAAATAAGATAGGGGACAAAAAAACGAAGATTTTATTAAGTAAGTTAATTATTTAAAAATAAGTTTTCGTGTTTTGTGTCAAACAAATTCTAAGCCTGTTCCTTTCCAATTTGCTAATGCTTTATCTGTTGAATCTTAGCTAGTTGACAGCTGTTTTGAGATAACAATTTTATCACAAAAATAAATTATTTAGCAACATGCCTGGGTTATAAAAATTAGCAATGAAGTTCTGAATGTTGCTTCTAATTTGCAAACATTAGCTTATTAAACTACCTACCTTGTCTTAACTGTTCAACAACAATTTACCTATAAGCCATTTACTTTATTTTAGATTTAGTATTTAATAATTTACACAGCAAAAGCATGGATTACTTTGAATCCCAATAATTGGACGACAACTGACTAAAAGGTGAACTTTAACTTACCTTATACAAATTAGCAACTGCAAGGAAAGCTTGTGGATCGCTAGGAGATGCATCCAGGGCATGTTCTAGATTCCTGTACTCAGCAGATACATAGAATGCTTGAGTTTCTGCAGGGTACTGAAGGCCGCCTACTGTATGTTCTGCTGGCAGGTGAAGCGTGAGGGAGTGGAACAGATACCGTCGACTATGTGCAGCTCCGCCGTAGATTAGGGGACGCTGTGCGCTTTTCCATTCACCGAAGAGCATTACTGGAAGAAAAGACAAATGAGTCTCATAAAAGAAAAGATATATAAAGGTACTTAGTTCTTAAAGGTAAGCTATGCTAATGGTCGATGATAGAGGAGAGATGTCAATTCAAGATCAGAAGGTGCAAAATGACCTCTCAAATTAGTAAAAAACTTATTTAGATAGATTTATCTAATCTATTAGATATTTGACAAATCCTTTCGTATTAAAATCAACGTCAATTTTATTCCACACACCAACATCACGCCTTGAATCATCCATGAAACGGTAGGCAGCGGTGCACATTACGGCACTTGATGCCACTGTACAATGTAACACCCACTTTTCATTATTTACATACGTTATGAGTCCCATGTAGTGGGAGGTGAGCCTATTGTCAAATACCGAGCACAATTCCAGACTCCGTGCTACTAGTGAGAATAAAAAAAAAAACAGTAGTATGCCCGACCCGGGAATCGAACTCGAGAGTCCTTGGCAGTAGCGACCACTCGGCCAACGAAGCCAGTCTTATAATTTTATTCTACAAATAACAAAATTATCTGTTGAGTGAAAAATCGGCACTGAATCAGTTTACTAGATTAGTCTAGTAGAAAAAAGACGTAATTTACAATTTAGCTATTCAAACATAAACAAATCTATAACCGAACTCAAAAATGAAGAAACTCATTGAGATTCATGAATCTGATTTAATTTATTGCGCGAATTCTGAATGTTTAGCACCTCAAAACGTCCCTTGTAAAACATTCTATCTACTGTCTTATTTTTCATGTTTCTCAACCAGAGCACGAAAGCATTAGAGCTGAAAAATCCTGATTTATATATTTCAATTTTCATCCATTTCTTGTTCCGCGTCCCTTTGTCCGTTGACCTCCGGTTTAATTGCGTGGAATTTATGTGAAAAATAAGCGAAACTTTTATAGCTTTTTTAAGATATTTATTGGAGGAAAATATTGCTACTCAATGAATTTTTGTGCGAATTTTATATTGAACTAAGGCGCCATACGTTATAAAAAGTTTTTGAAAGTCCGTTTCCATACTGAGAAGTAAATATTGTTTGGATATCACTACATGGTAGGGTATTTTTTTAAGGGGGAAAATTATTGAATGACTTCTCCCGCCTGGGTGAGGCGGGAGGGAGTGTCAGACTCTTACTGACTAAAAACCACCCCGTTCCTTCTACTGCACTTCGAGCCGGAGCCCCGGTAACCCGTTAGGTTCAGCGCGACTCCGAATTGGCATCAGGCCTATTGGGCCCCATCCGTGGTGGTCTGATGGCTCTTTGAGGCGTGCGCGGAACGCGACGCGCACATAGTAGGGTATAAGACACATTGTACCGAATGTTATCCTCGGCTAACATTTTGATAAAGTAAACACTGCAATGATGAATAATAAATTCTCGAAACTCCAAAACATTGGCCGCAAACTAATTAACAACATCAAACTATTATGAAATGGAAATCCGCATTTCCACGAAACGGAAAAATTCATCGACAGATAGATAAGTTGTTATTTTCACAAATCCGTTTGGAAATTAATCCGTGATAGGAGAATTTTCTGGTTATTTATTTAAATAAATAGAGAAATCCCCGAGCATCTGTACATGAGTATCATTCGAGTTCAGAAATGAATGAATGATTATTAAACATTAAAGAACTATCACTCTGGAAGGTTCTTATTCCCAATTAATTAATAATCAACAACCACACATGATTATAAGATTAGAAAAGATTTTATAACGATATTATTTTATTTACTGCCTCGTTGGACGAGTGATCGCAATTGCGAGTGCCGGCCAAAGGTTAGGTTCCCGGGTCGCACAAAGTACTACCAATTTATTTTTAATCTCAGTAGTAGCACGGAGTCTGAAGTTGTGCCCAGTATATGGCAATAGGCTCACCTCCTATTACATGGGACTCAAAACTTAAATAATGAAAAGTGTACAGTGGCATTAAGTGCCGTAATGTGTACTTCTGCCTACTCCTTCGGGGATAAAAAGGCGTGAAGTTTTGTTATGTTATTTTATTTAGTAAAAGAATATATATATAATTTAGTGGAAACTAAAATGTATTCCACACCTACCTCGTTTACCATCGTTCATCAAAGTCAATTCCTGTGCCTGCACGTCGTAGTTCTGAAAAAGCAATGACCTTGCACCTCTTGCCTTTATGAGACCAGCTATTGGTAAGTCTACAGGAGACTGGGATTTCCCACCGCACTCTGGAAATGTTTTGTCCCATCTTCCTTGAGCTAAAAAATAATTTAAAAGTATGAGGTACCATAACCTAAGACTTGTCTATCCTCTAAGTGTGGGAGAGCCATGCTTCGGCACGAATGGGCCGGCTCGACCGGAGTGATACCACAGGCCTCACAGATAACCGATGTGCAACAACACTTGCGTTGTTTTTCATAGTATGAGTGAGAGTGAGGTTACCGAAGGCCCAATTAAACCCACGCGCTTGCAACGCCTCTGGTGTTCCAGGTGTCCATGGGCGGCGCCGATTGCTTACCATCAGGCGTTCCGTGTGCTCGTTTACCGGCTTATACCTGAAAAAAATCTAATATCTATACAAATCGAGATCTATGAATTTCTCTGTAGGAAAACGTGATGAATATACTTTTTGAACACATAAACGAAAAATTCCAGCATCCTTCTAAATACAGGAGAAATACAAACGTTCCATATTTATGTTACCTAATGACTTTAAGTAGGTATAACTACCTAGGTAGGTAGGTATAAATAACTTTAGAACTCGTTAAATATATAGCGTGGGACATAAGCCTTCCTACTCAACCAGAAAACAAAACACAAGAGTCCTCAGAACAATTTTGTTTCTTATTTACAAAAGCAAACTGGCCATCTCAAGAGCGTCTGTCTCAAGTATTCATTAGATCAAGTTTAAAGAAAAAAACAACCTAAGAAGAGGTAATTGGGTTTGTTTTCCAGCTTTTGCGCAGGAATTTTAAGAAAATCTGAGATAAACTTAGGAAATCAACTAAAACAACGAATCAAAGGAAAAGCTTGAGGAATGTGAAATAAAATTCTAGAACAAAAAACGTTATTTATACGTACGTTCTTTATAATGTGTGTATATTTCTTTGCATTGTTTACTTTTTTCTTACCAATTATTTTTAAAGGTCAAGAGGAAAACAAGTATAATGAGCCTAATGAATGAAATTGTCATTTGACGACAGCGTGACATCACGCCAACGTTACGACAAAGGGTCGGGCAGTGACGTAAAATCAACACCCACAAGATTTACTTTTTATGAAACTTCATTTTTAAGCCAGAGTCATGACAAAGGTCTTTGGTTGACAAAATAATAAACACAAAGGAAACAGGATAACAACATATAAATAGGATTTCGACATCGACTCCAATTACATAGTTTTAAATGTGAAATTACAAATCATATTAACTAATTTTCACATTCTAAAAGTGGCCGTTATATGTCCCAACTAGTGTAGTTTTAATTAGTCCCTGTTCATATTTGAAATTGACGTTTAAGACTGAAAGTGTTTATTTCTGATTCTTTTAAAAAAACTTTACCTCATACTAGGATTTCGTTCTGTGTCGTGGGTGCGTTTACAAACATACAAGTTCGCATACACATGACACCCAGACCCAAAATAACAATTTGTGAATCACATAAAGAATTTACTCTTATTCTTCCTACTGTTAGTGGAAAATTTACCAAAGCTACATGGAAACTTAACGAACGAATAAGGCTTGAACTCACCCTTTTTACAAATTCTACGTGACTTGTACGTCTACTATTACGTACTTATTGTGTAAACAGCTTAACAAAATCTACGGCGCAAAATGGTACAAGAAATTTCAAATGGCCTAATAAAGATATTTTTACATTCTACGTTTTACTACCGACGTACTAACTACTAATTGACTGCACGGTTGGTGCGGTGGCTGGGCAACCGGCTGCAGTGCAACGTGTCGCGGGTTCGTTTCCCGCACGGAACAACACTTTGTGTGATCCACAAATTGTTGTTTCTGGTCTGGGTGTTATTGTGCTTGTGAACTTGTATGTTTGTAAACGCATCCACGACACAGGAGAAAATCCTAATGTGGGGCAACGATTTAAAAAAAAAATATTTTGTAGAAAATACAAATTGTTGACGTTTAAGCCTTTAACTGACGACAAATTTAAAAACTGTTAAAGGCTATTCCTCCGCTAGCGTCGGACTACATTGTCCGACACGGCAGCCAATGTTGTGTTAAAAAAATGGCGGCAACAAAATTTTTTTTTGGATTTCGAACTTTTTTGTTGCGAGAGTTCGATTAAAAAATGGCTAATCTATGAAGGCAGTTCAATAGGAAACAACTGGAACTGGAAACTATTATTTACTATTACTATAACTATATAACTATTATTTATAAATGCCAAGATAAGTTGATACAAATTAATATTAGGGAAAAAAAATCTATAATCTTATAAAATAAACTTACAAATGTATTCCCAATCTAGAAATGGTGCTGTAATAAAAAGTCGTAATTTAGTAGTTACCAGTTACTATGCCAGAAATAAAATTTGATTTAATTTTTAAATCATTTCATTTTAAATCATCATCATACCTTTAATAGAGTGTATTATGTGCGGTGGCCAGCAAGTGAACCTATCCTTTTCTGTCTTTCTCTATTACGTTTTAAACTTCATGGTATTGAGATAAAGTCGAAAATCCAATGAATAAATTTTACAGATGGGAGTTGGATGATATGCTGGTACATAAACATTCCTTAGTCAATCTACTTTCTTAAAATACTGTGATAATAATAATTATTTATGATGATTTTCGATTATGATATTATGCGAATACAATATTCAGAATTTAATTGAAAGAAAATAAATCATTACGCAACGGTGGTGTCATCAAATCATTGGCAGTTGCTTCATCTTCTGTCTCCTCCTCTCGAGGTTTTTTTCTTAGAATCTGCCGAAAAACGCAACAAAAAATTACATAAAGATTCATCCATGGCTCATTTTTTAAATTCACTTTATACATCACGCCTTGTTTTTTATACCACGACTGTAGCAAAAAAAAAAACAAACAGCCCATCTGATGGTAAGCTGTTACTGTGGCTTATGTACTATGCATGTATGTATATATGTACTTGAAAAACCTATTTACACCCTTCTTGAAGAACCCCATGTTGTATCCTACACTGGGAAAACTACGGCAGGGAGGTCATTTAACATTCATTGTATTTATGAAGTAGGTAGATACGTCTTCTATGTATAATTATACAAATAAAATAAATATGTATCTTTGTCCATATACTCAAACGCTCCTCAATTTGAAGTCAAGCTTAAGTATAGTTCTATCGAAGAAGTCATGCTAGCTTAAGAAGAAGTGGGGCGCGTGAGGCAGCGAAGCGCTGCCTCCTCATAACCCAGCCATTGCGAAGTACACTCCGGGCGTCGAGGATCGCGGGACGATCTCCAGCCACCGTAAGCGCGGGCCTGCGGACGGCGAGCATGGGTGGCTCGCCGCCCAACCAGAACCACACCCGAGCGTACAGCGCGTCGCGTTCTGCGTGCGCCTCAAACAGCCATCAGATCATCACGAATGGGGCCCAATAGGGCTCATGCCGATACGGAGCCGCGGAGAACTTAACGGGCTACCGGGGCTCTGCCTCGAAGTGCAGGAGTAGGAACGGGGTGGTTTTTTAGTCAGTAAGAGTGGAGTAGTCAGAAGGGAGTGTCAGACACTCCCTTCCGCCTCACCCAGGCGGGAGAAGCCATTCGATGATTTTCCCCCTTAAAAAAAAAGTATAGTTCTATCTCTGCAAATTCTTAGTAAAATAACAGAGATGGCACGATATTTAAGTACAACTTATATTTGAGTAGCCTGTCAGTATTCGGGTGTCAGTATAACATATATCCTAAATGAATGACATACTAAATGAAATGAAAATAATGATTTATTATTATTTGTTTATATTTAAATCACACAGGTAAGTATGTTATAATTTAAACACCACAAAACCGTTGCAATGGTTTGACTGTGAGGATTAATATTATACAGGAAACTTATACAGAATTGAAGACATTTCAAGGATATAACTTTAATTTACGTATAAACCTATTTATCTACATGAAAACTTTTTAAATAAACCCTCAAAGAAATGTTAAATATAAATAGTATATATTTTCTGCATAATTATGAGCTCATTTTACCAAAATAGCTATCAAGCTACCCAAGTATGCAGCACTTCACTATGATACTCTGAAAATAAGAAGTGCAATCTCTCCCTTATTAAAACCGACCGCAACTACAAAGTTTTGTTCGTAATATCCTGAAATTCTTTGCTAAAATTCAGGATCCCTTAATGAAAACAGAAGCGCAAATTTTAAGGCTCCAATTAATATAAAGTGACCTTTCTTTTGTAAAATTTTGACTACGTAAACACCTAATGAGGCTCTTGAGAGCTATACGAAAAATTTTGAAATTTTTTGTGATTTATTGAAGTCATTAAGTAAAGAGTTGAATAATATGTAAGTAGTCAACTTCAGTAAAACGTTGAATAAAATGACAATAGAATGCTTTACAGGATTTGAATAAGTATTTTGTTAAATTAACTAAAAATCGCGGGTTACTCACGTAAATACACTGAGAAAAGCTAGTTACTAGTTTCGAACCACAGAAGAAGATAGTGGGCCAGTTGAAACAAAATCCCAACGAAGTGCTATCACCCATACTGGGTTAGTTACAGCTACATATTTCACACTTTAATGCCTCTAACTCGAGTAGCCACTCAGTCTAGTAAATCCAACGCTTCGTATTCAGAACCATCACAAAGTTTACATAAACTAATAATACAACTGTCTTTGTGTACTCAACATATTTACAATTTAAAAAATGTTTCCAGTCATAAATTTTGGACGAGACATTTTAAATTTGCTGACTGTGCAAAAAATAGCATTGGCAGAAACTGTAGAAGTACTTTAACTTAGAACTAGCTTATGCATACAAATTTTTAGTTGTAGACAAACGTTTTTGAGTGGTGGGTGCACAAATGCATAATATTTTTGCACTATTTAAATTGTAGTCTAAATGCGCTGAGACAACCTCCTTTCTTTAGACTAAGATCGATGTTCTGAAAGGGATTACTAATTACCCCCTTCCCCAATCTCCCCAATTCCTGTATCCCAATCCTCAAATTCCTAATCCGTAAAAGGCCGGTAACGCACTTGTAACGTCTCTGGTGTTCCAGGTATCCGTGGGCGACGCCGATCCGTCTGCTCGTTTACTGTTTTATCCAATAAAAAAATACCATAAAAGGTTGTATAAATAAGAATATAATAACTGAACAAAATCAACGAGTAAACTTACCAAATCTCGTGGGTATCTTATTTGGTCTTCGGGAGCATCTTCATCTATAGAGTTGCGGTCTGGAAAATGCGTTGGAAAATGGAAGACCCAAATAGTTTTTGGCTGAAAACAAAATGAAATGTGTACATATTTTTTATCTATTTCATCATCATCATTTTTTGCCATAAGACATAAGTGCGGGAGAGTCATACTTCGCCACAAATAGGCCGGCTCGACCGTAGTGATACCACAGCCTCATAGAGAACTGACGTGAAACAACGCTTGCGTTGTGTTTCATCGTGTGAGTGAGGTTACCAGAGGCTCAATTACTCCCTCCCCTCCCCAGTCTTCTCAATCTCCAAATTCCCCACAATCCCCAAATTCCCAATTCCTAATAGGCTGTTAACGCACTTGTTACGCCTCTGGTGTCCATGGTGTCCATGGGCGGCGTCGATTGCTTACCATCAGGTGATCCGTCTTCTTGTTTAACCGGCATATACCGTAAAAAATACATTATTTCGGAACAACAAGCCGTCTCCAATAACTTCTGGATTGACCTGCAGGCAAGCTGCATCTAGCATCATCCTGCAACCTCATATGAGGTCTATCCAGGTGTTGTAAGACTACTAAAGAAGCATTGGAGTGTTCTGTTGTATTTTGTTTTTATACCAATACAATTAAAACTGCTAACATATAGATTGTCATGAACTACATTAGTATAAAGTTACATAGCTTACGTTTTGATGTATACAAAATTGAAAATTCAGTTTAATAAACCAAATCAACATTTTCAAGCCGAATTTCTATTGAGTTATTTTATAAACTTACTCTTCCAAACTTAAGGCGATCCCTAGCTTCGTTATCGAGTTGCCTCTGAATATCATCTGCATCGTCAAACAGTGTGTTTGTTCTAGAACTCGTCTGATCTTGTAATTGTCCTGTTAACAAAGAGAATAAAATAAAATTTAATGACCTGAACAATAATTGTAATAGTACTTAGCTTTATAATACACAATTTAGTTTATAGAATCTTTGATGTCTACAATTACAATCAAAATCAGTAATTTATTTTTAAGTAAATGTGAAGACTATAGAGGTAATTTTACATAACATAACATTAGTACGTACAACGAGTAAGCAGAGGTTTACATTACGGCACTTCATGCCACTGCACAATGTAACACCCACTTTGCACTACCATCTACGCGGCATCTACCTCGTTGGCCGAGTGGCCGCAAGTGCGACTGCTGACCACGGGGTTTCGGGTTCGATTCCCGGGTCGGGTAAATTATTAAAAAAAAATATTTTCTGTTTTTTTTTTTAACTTTTAAAAAACGTTGCCAACACTAGGATTTTCTCCTGTATCGTGGGGGCGTTTACAAACATACAAGTTCACATACACAATGACACCCAGACCCGAAACAACAATCTGTGGATCACACAAAGTGTTGTCTCGTGCGGGAATCGAACCCGCGACACGTTGCACGGCAGCCAGTTGCCCAGCCACCGCACCAACCGTGCAGTCGAATTCGTCAATTGAGCTTGGTATGTGGCAATAGGCTCACCCCGTATTACATAGAACTTAAATAGTGAAACGTGAGTTTTCATTTGTATAGTGGCATTATGTGAAGCATAGGCGTGATGTTATGATGATTTTATAATAGAATCAACGATAACTATCATCTTATTCATCATCATATGGCCGTTATCGCTAACCGCTCGTAAACACCTTTTGACTAAGAATTACTTAGCATGGGGGAGCACTTAAACGAATCCCTTACCTGTATGATTGGTCAAAACCAAGATGTCTTCAAGTGTCACCTTTCTTAGCCTAGGGGTTCCTAAAAATTTAAGAGAGGTTTGTGAAAATAGGTATTACACGAATGGGGTTCAAAATACTCTTGGGTATTTTTAAAAATATCTTATTAGTAGCACGGATTCTAAATTTGTGGCCGGTATTTATAGCAATAGGCTCACCCACTATTACATGGGACACATAATGTAAAAGTGAAAAGTAGGTGTTACATTATACAGTGGCATTAAGTGCCAAAATATGCACCTCTGCCTACTCCTTCGGGGATAAAAGGCGTGATGTTATATATGGTCACGATATTACTAAATTAATAAACTAAGATGAATAAATATTCTTCAGTTATTTGATGCATTAAAGGTACTTTTAAGTTGACCTTACTATAATTATTTATTACTTATTGTACGGTTGGCGCGGTGGCTGGGCAACTGGCTGCCGCGCAACGTGTAGCGGGTTCGATTCCCGCACGGAGCAACTCTTTGTGTGATCCACAAATTGTTTTTCCGGGTCTGGGTGTCATGTGTATGTGAACTTGTATGTTTGTAAAAGCATCCACGACACAAGAGAAAATGCTAGGGTGGGGCTACGTTCTTTTCAAACAAAAAAAATAAATAATGACGTCTATCTAGATTGATGACTGTTGTGGATGCGGAAGAGGTACATATGTAAGAATCGTAGCAATTGGCGTTCTATAGTTTCTTCCTACCCCAATGCGAGGCAGGTGTGAAATTGTGTATGTATGTATAATAAATAATTAGGATCAAATTAAGGAACTAAGGATAGAAATTACTATAATTTAGGTCTTAAAAAAACTTTACAAAATAACAGTCAGGTACTTAAAATGTTATCCATTTCTCTCATAATTATCTTTCTCTGATAAATTTATTTTATAAGTATGTACCCTGTAATGAATAATTTGATTTATGATAATCAGAAACAGACGGCCCTATTTTATATTCTTCCAAACTTTGACAATAACTGAATTTTTATTACGTAAAAATTCGTAGTACGTAGGACTTCGGAAAATTCCTAAAGGAATTATTTATTGAGTAATAGAGAAGCGATTATTAAGCAAAGCATCGCTTTTGATCGTAAAATAAAACCTAAAATTATTTCTACCGCTGCGAGTAAATTGACGATAAAAAGGGGGGTAAACTTCAATAAACCGTTATATTTTATTACACAACCAGTGTAATATTACACAATGTTTACACAAGAGATTTATATTTATTGGTATTATTACATTGTCGGAAATAATGATCGGGGTAATGGATTAAGGTCAACAAGATTTAGCTATTTTGGTCGATGCAAATGATATCGTTTGAAGAAATCATGTTTGGCTGAAATAAAGGTTTGAAATGTGACAATATTTTTTCATATTTTATAGGTTGACGTTTTAACACAATTTTGCCAGTACTTATTAGAAAAATACTCGAAAATGCTTAATAGAAATTCACTACAAACCCAGTAGATATATTTCTCATGTAAAGAGAGACTCATGTGGAAGGGGTCCTTATGTTTATAATTTTATTTAAGGATGAAATACTTTTACTAGGTATACTTAGTTTCACTGCCTCGTCTGGCAAAGTATTTAGGAGATTGTAAAAAGTTCCTAGTAGTAGCACGAAGTCTGGAATTATGCCCGTCATATGATAATAGGCTCACCCCCTATTACATGGGACTCATATCATAAAAGTGAAAAGTGGCTATTACATTGTTAGTACCTACAGTGGCACTAAGCGAGTCGCGGAGAACCTAACGGGTTACCGGGGCTGCGGCTCGAAGTGCAGGAGAAGGAACGGCGTGGTTTTTAGTCAGTAAGAGTCTGACACTCCTTCCCGCTTCACCCAGGCAGGAGAAGTAATTCTCACAACAGTGGCATTAAGGGCCGTAATGTGCACATCTGCCTACCCTTTCGGCGATAAGAGGCGTGATGTTATGTTAGTTTATATAAGACTTATCTATCCTTAACACGGGAATCAATATTTACTTACATTTACTTACTGAGATAGACATAAGCTCCATACAAAATGTGCAAATCTACAGATAGATAGGTTTTATAAAATGGCCGTAAAAGTGCTGCGATATTTCCACTTTGTACTACAATTGGAATAGTAAATTGTCTTTACAATGTATTTAAATTGACTATCAAAAATCCAAAGGTCAGATGCCCGATTTGGATGGCAATAACTTGTTAGGGTCAATGACCGTACAAATTTTCAGAAATATATTGAAACAAAACATACGTTTTATGAAGATCATAGTATTTTGAACGACCTCTCTACCAAACGCTGCTAAAAATAAAAAAAAACAGGATGTTTCATTTTATATTGACACTGGCTACTTCCGCGCGGTTTCACTCGTTCTGCTCGGTCGGCGCCTATTAATTGCAGCGTGATATTTTATAGCCTATAGCCTTCCTCAAAAAATGGGCTATCCAACAAGGAAAGAATTTTTCAAATCGGACCAGTAGTTTAGGAGATTAGCGCGTTGAAACAAACAAAAAAAAAAACAAACTCTTCAGCTTTATAATATTGGTATAGATAAGTACCAGTCAACCATACACCATTGCCATGACCACCATAGCTGATAAATAAAAGAAAGTACAGATTCAAATGATTTGTAGTTTCCGCTTCACTTGGTACAAAAAGGATATTTATTGGACTTGCGTTACTGTGACAGCTGGGCCCGAATCTTTATCGAGGACATTCTGTATAATAATGGTTTAGGAGACAGTTTGTGTAATGAAATCCATCGATAAATTGTAATACTAATCTTTTTCTTTAAGAAATTTCTTTATCACACTAAAATTATAAATGTGAAAGTTTCGACTGCCTCGTTGGCCGAGTGATCGCAAGCGAGACTGCTGGGAAAGGGGTGTCGGGTTCGATTCCCGGGTCGGGCAAAGTATTACTGGGTTTTTAATAAAATCTCAGTATTAGCACGGAGTCTGGAATTGTGCCCGGTATATGGCAATAGGCTCACTTCCTATGACATGGATCTCATAATATTAATAGTGAAAAGTGGGTGTTACATTGTACAGTGGCATAATGTACACCTTTGGGGATAAAAGGCTGATGTTATGTTATGTTATGTGAAAAAGTTTCTTTATTTGGATGTTCGTCCTTATGCACATGGATGCGGATCCGGTGAAACTACTGCACGGATTTTGATGAAATTTGGTACACAAGCAGGATAGGCTGACTTTGATGATAAGGTACTTTTCATCCCAATGAAATGGTTGAAATGTTCCCATGGGATAAAAAAGGAATCATATTCTGCGCGGACGAAGTCGCGGACAACAGCTAGCCTATTAATATTGAATAATTTTGATAACCAATATTTAAAATTAATCGTTTTTTTCAAGCGGTGAAAATCATCGAATTACTGCTCCCATCTGGGCGAGGCGGGAGGGAGTCGCTTACTGACTAAACACCACCCTGTTCCTTCTCTTGCACGTCGAGCAGGAGCCCCGGTTACCCGTTAGGTTCTCCGCGACAAAACTTATCGTTTAGCGACAAACGTGACTTAGTGACTTATTGACTAGTGAGTTAATTTTTCTACGTCGATTATTATTTTGGAGTTGGTAATACAGAATGAACTATGTTTGTTTGATTGTCGTTTTGATATCCTGTGCAGTTGTTAAGAATAATCAAAAAACTAGATACACCTTAGTTCTATCTAAACTTGAATGTCAGACTATCTACCTAGTATCTACCTGGTGTCTGAATCTACCTAGTAAAGTTACTAGGTTGATTCTTCATACTAGCACGCTTCTTAATTGAAATACTCGCAACTATTGTATGTCATTTAATCCCACATAATATTGAGGCTTCAGATTCCTAGAGTACAAAAGCGAAATTGAGAATCTATAATGTTCAGAAATCCAACAAAAGTAACTAAAATATTATTTTTTCGAACCAAAAATCTAATATCGAAAATGTTTACAAAACCAACATAATTATGCGGTAAACAAACCTGAATTAGTATTACGGATTATTATTCACGTAATAATTACACATGGTATCATATTCAATGGTTCAAAAGCCTAATCAACGTAATGTACATAATAATTAAGCCTTATTGCGATAAGAATTGAGCTCAATTTCAATTGAACACAGAGGTTAATAACATATACGGCAATTTTAAATGCTAATAAGTAAGTTTTGAAGTCAAAACACGAAACAGATAGAAACATGACACTGAGGAACAATTTCTACAGCTTTCGATTGAATATCGAATGTTCTAGAAATATGTAAAACACCATATAGGTACATATTATTCTGTACAGCAATATGAAGAAAACATTTCAAAATGTGCTCTGGGCAGAATAAAATTATTATATCTGTGAG